GTGTGTGTGTGTGTGTGTATCAGACTCTCAGGATGCCCTCTCTCCCTCCCGCCCTGCAGGGTTGCTCCTCGCCCATCGTGGTGAAGTTCGCCGACACACAGAAGGATAAGGAACAGCGGCGTCTGCAGCAGCAGTTGGCCCAGCAGATGCAGCAGCTCAACAGCGCCACCACCTGGGGGAACCTGACTGGCCTGGGCGGCCTCACCCCGCAGTATCTGGCAGTAAGAAGCCCCGCCTCCGCGTCGCCTACAGCCAATCCAGCCGCAGCAGCAGCCGCAGTCAGTCTCCGCCCGCTGTCCCCGCCCCCCCACCACAACCTCCGCTCCCGCCCCCACCTCACACTGTAAAAAAAAAAAAAAAGTTAAATAAAAGTCTGCCTTTTGTTATTTCAACATAAATTTTCACGTCAGCTTAAAATTATTTCATTCACTCAACAGAATCAAAGCTCTGAAGCTGACGTGACTTAATTTTTTTTTGTTGAGTCGACTTGATCTGAATTTTGGTCGACTTGACCACTTCTAAGTTTTGAAATGAGGAAAGGCGTGTTTTTTACAGTGCGCTGTCCGTCATACTACCCCCCCGTCTTCTGCCCCACCCCCCCACCCCTCCCTTTCTGTTTATTTCGTACTGACTTAGATCAGTCAAATAATCATTTTGGGTTCAAATACTTTTCTGGACTTGATTGATCTTGCCTGGTGCAGTTGAGCCAATCAACAGGGCTGTAAGGTGGGGTAGTCACTGTTTGAGAGCATTTAATTGGTCCTAATTTACCGGACAAGCTCAGTGAAGCATAGAAAAGTATCTTAATCCCGAGTGATTATGCGACTGACCCCAGGTTTGTTACAGTTCAGAAACTCATAACTTTCCTTTAATTATCAGTGCGACTGTACACCGATCAGCCATTTCATTGTACGGCAACCTTTTATTCTCATGCAGAAGTGCTGCTTTTAAAGTCCACAGTGATGTTTACTTTTTTCAGGAGTCTGTATTAAAGGACCTGCACTTATCCGGGCGCAGTGATGCCGCAGGCCTTGATGGTGCTGTTTCCCTGTGGCTTGTGTTCATAAAGCCTGTTAGAGCTCACTGTGAATGGTGGCGTTTTAAAGAATTCTGAGGTTACAGACGGATATGTTGTCCTTTTATAGAAAATTTGTGAATATGTGGTTTAAAAAATAGCGCAGCAGCGGGAGACCAATGGAAACCAATCAAACTGTGAAAGTTTGCATTTTTCAGAGCCGAAAAGAGGCGAGAGAGTATTCTGTTTTTAGAGGGATCTGTACTTCCTATTTTAGGAACAATTAGCACCACTGTTCATCCTTTATATCCGTACTAAGCAAATAGTGAGGGTTAAGTTTCACTGGAAAGTCATGATACCTTACATGAGACAGTGTTTGGTTTCCAGTTTCCCCTCGATATGCCAGTTGCCAATATACCTAACCTTCTGCAACTCTTCCTGTCTCTTTCTCCTCTTCTCCCTCCCTCTTTCTTTTTTCATTCTCTCTCCTTCTCTCACTCTCTCTTTCCCCCTCCTCTCTCGCTCTCTCTCGCTCCCCTTCTCCACCTTTCTCTCCCTGCCTATCTCTCTGTCTCTCTCTCTCTCTCTCTCTCCCTCCCTCTCTCTCCCTCTCTTTCTCCCTCCCATGTCACAGCTCCTCCAGCAGGCTACTTCCTCCAGTAATCTGGGTGCGTTCAGTGGGATTCAGCAGATGGCGGGTGAGTGTAGCGTCTCTCTAAGGTCCCCGCTCCTGTCAGTTCGACAGCACAAAGCCCCCCCCCCCCTCGCCCCGTTCCCCACACTCTCCTCACGCAGGACCAGCCACTCTGACCCAAGCCTTTAATCCTTGTGTGGTGATTGGGTCAAAATAACCTGTTTTTCTGTGACAAAACTCAACATAACAATTATTTTCAGAAATTTGAACCATCAAGGTCTTACATTCTGTGGGGAACATGCAAAAGCACACATTATCATTGAGTGCACGTTTGACAACGGGCCCATTTCTTTGTATTTACGTCTGGAAGATTGAGCAAAACACAAGGGTTAAAGAACACTACCGCACACCCCTACGTTACCCTCCAGATAAAGCCGTAATCGTGAATACTTTGCTCGGGGGAGGTGGGGGGGTGGGAGAGAGAATTCGTCCAGATGGAGTTCAAGGAAGGGCATAGCTAATATTAGCATTGTTGTCACTGTTTTGAACTCTTATTAGCCTGTCCGTTTCCATTGTTTAATGTGTTGCTGCGAGTTGGCAGTGATTACCAGTAAAGTGCAGTAAAGAGAATTTACGAGTTCAGATGTCGCCTCTTGATAAAGATTATCCAGCTCTCGAGAGAAGCACTTGCGTCTTCTGCTCGTGACGAGGAAAAATTCCGAAGCAGGCATCATAAATTAATTTCAGTACCGCAGTTACTCAAAGGATGTAAGAAGGTTTTCCTTCCCTCAATAATGGATGATCTCTCAGGATGGTGTACTTTGAGGTTAATAAAAGAACGTTGAGTTAAAATGTTTTGTTATTACTGCTCGTCTTACTGGGGCTGGTACCATAGCGCAAGTTGCTGCCAAGGATTTGATTAAATGCGCCATTATGGAGTTTTTACTTCCTCTTATGTGGTGCAGTAAATTTCCCATGTCTTGTGTAATATACGCACTTTACAAACTGAAAGCGAAGATATAATCTGTGGTTTTGGTGTGCTGTTTATTCGGGGCTAATTTTGATTCCCAACTCCAGTCTTTCTGTGGCCCTCGATGCATTACCGTACACTCCACTCTTTGCACCCTTCGTAAAGGGCCTTCCCAACCATCTTCCTGCATATCTGTCGTCTATCTATTTAATTTCCAACCTACTGTGGCACACCTCAATCTGCAGTTTCTTGGCAAGAGCTTTGGCTGGTAAATGGCCTGTGCTTTATTATGGTTGAAGTGGAAACCGACGGCAGAGTCAGCCTTCAGTTGGTCTTCATGAGTACGGTTGGGCAGCCCTGCTGTATTGTATTCCAACCCCCTCTAAACATACACACTCTCACAGGGCAGTGCAGCTGACCTTAAAGAATATTCTGTTCCCTGGAAAAGTCAGCGACGCGTTCAGAGATGCAGGCTATGTTAGTGGTGAATCAGTTTGTGTAAAGAAAAAGCCTTAGCATCATTGCTGTGTATTATTAATAAAATGTCAGTGAACCGCTGTGTGGTCTTTTCGTGAACCTTTAACAAAAGACGGTGAACTAAACTATGAAGTGATCGTAAATCAGTTTTTGAGTGAGAGCTATTTGCACATAAACCGCAATTTGATACTGCTCCTGACCTTTGGTTTAGCTCAAGCTGCCAGACTAATGGCGTGGCCCACTCAATTGAAATGATGCAGAAAATGCATTTTATTTTGGCCGCAATTGGCTTTTATAAACGAAAGTCGTCAGCTTGCCAATTTATTCCAAAAGTTTGGCCGACAATAAGGCACTGCTTGTTGACAAATGAACTTTGAAACATTAAATGAGTAGCTTTGCAAATATTATTTAGAGATTTGGCACCAGTCTCACAGCACCGGTACATTTCGATAAGCCTGCCAAATGTTTTTATCTTGGTCTTTGAAAACTTTTGATTGTTGACTCGGGAATTTTTGGAGGCTTTCAAAACTTTACTTGCGTCCAACTTCGCTGAAAAAAAGTGATGCTTTCAGCAGGAAGATTCTTTTTTATGCTTTTAGGGTGATGAAGAAAGGACGATTATTTCGCTTTACCTTTTATTCGTCATCTAACGTGCAGCGCGAAGATATGGAGTGTGCAAGAAGACATGCTGAGTTGTTTAATGTTTTATATGGAAACAAAAACAGATATATAAATAGAATGTACAGCTATTCACGCCCTGTAATTGCCCTGCCCAAGGGGGGAGGGGTATTCTTATCTCTGGCATGTGTTTGTGTGTTTTTATGCTAGTGGTCTAGTGCAAAAACAGTTTGCTTAAGTTGCACAAAATTTTCAGAAAAGGTGTGCAATGGTCCAACAGTCATCTGAAAAAATTTTTGACATAAGTTTAAAGCCATAATTTGACAAGTTTAAAGCCACCAAAAACTAAAAATTCTTTTTTTCACGGTGGCTGCCTGAAAGCTAGAGTTGGCAACTTTTGATAAACCAGCAAGCACAAGGCAGATTTTGGATGTCGCAAGCAGAAAAAACACCCACTTGTTTGAGTATTCGCTCCAAAGCTACTCTCCTAAAGACGTGAATGCGCACACCTTAACTGCCAACAGCAGAAGAGCAGTGAGTGGTGCACAGAGCATCATTAGTTTTCATCACAAACCTTATCCATCCACTTAAAGCACCATTCACATGCCAGAGAAAAAGTCGCCATTTGCAATATTTATGCAAGGTAGACAATAGGAGTGTAAACAACAACAACATAGCAGTATTAGCTAGCTAGCAAAGTTGATGGCTGGAAAATACGGCCCGCAAATAAGCTGACTACCTAGCGGTGCCTTCGCTGCCGAAATGTTCTAAAACTACCAAAGCTAAAATGAACAGGGTTGGGATACTGTACATCAAAAGAATATTTTTAATGTTTAAATTGCATTTGTATTGCATTTCACTCTTAAAAATTAAATCAATTACCTTCGTACTTACCTACCTAGCTAAATTGCTTGTTACTTGGTGATTTTATTGTCGTTTATTGGTGACGCATATTGAAGACCCAAAACTTAAAATTAATGGCATGTTGTACAATAATTTGCATTTTAGACCTTCCAGAATTAGGGTATTGGTTTTTGTCCGGAATATACTTCAGAACGCAACACCTCTGGTCAAAGAGGACAGACCAGGGGAGGAGGGCTGTCAACCCAAACTATTCTAAGTCATAGCCTTTTTTTCTGGCTTTCTTTTTCTTACACTGTCAAGCAGTGCAAGTTGTTGTAGGTAGAGGTAGAACTGCAGATTTTGGCAGCACTTTCTCTGCCAATTCTTTCATGAGGAGCTACTTTACCTCAATTAGTTCTACCTTGTCAAACACTGAGCATTCAGGGGCGGCATGGCTCAGGAGGTAGAGTGGCTAGGCTACGAATCGGAAGGTTCCTGGTTCGATCCCCGGCTGCTCCAGGAAACGTGTCGAAGTGTCCTTGAGCAAGTCACTAATTCCCACACTGCTCCAGATGTGCAGGTTGGCGCCGTGCATAGCTGCCTCCACCATCAGGGTGAATGAGGGGCATAATTTTAGAGCGCTTTGTGTCATCTGATTAGAAAGGTGTTATATAAATGCAGTCTATGCAGTCCATTCAATGATTTCATTCGCAGGGAAGGAAGTGATGGGGATGGGCTTATTACAGGTTTTCTACGGCCACAGGTACTGAATTTTCTTCCTTTTTCCGTTATTTAGTTTTGTCGGGTACTTGGTTATTCAACAGCCAAAGCACTTAAACATCTCCTGAGGGCGGGGTGTGATGTACCTGGCTTGTCTTGTTATAATAATGTTCTGTTTTTTTAATTATGTAATCTGCTGATTACATTTCCACTTTATTTATACCATTCTCAATTTTATATTGCTACCTCTGAATATTCCTAAATTCAGTATGGTTCCAGGTGATTTTCACAGGACTACAAACCCCACTCAGTTATAAAACAGAACTACATGCCCCATTCTCCCTGCGCAATACAGAACTACAAACCCCACCCTCGTTGCCCAATTCAGAACTATTGTTACATTCACCTGCTTCTCGCTTGGTTCCATTCCCAAGTTAGGTAGTCATTCTCTAGACCGTAGTGTGTTGATGTGCTTTTAAGTCTGAATGTGGGAATAACATGGAGGCTTCTAAGATGTGTCATAATTTGATCGTTCATAGTGTTTATAAACAATTTTGAAGCTTTATATTACAAAATAATTTTGCCCCAAAGTTATCGCTGCACCAGTTAATTACCTGAAACTGTACTAAAATGTTACGTTATCTGGCTTGTTATCATGGTTACAGTGAATAAATAACTTTTCTAACTAATCTAGGTCGCACTGTCAACCTCACCTAACTGTTACAACCATATACTGTTACAAATTATATGTTTGCCAAAATTGATAAGCAGTATGCAAATTGGCGCAATTAATAAAAAGTTTCTAACCATCAACTGGACATTTACTTCTGTCTGCTATGTTTCTATGTATATGATGTCAACAACTCAGCAAGTTTTTGTTCCAACCTGGGGGGATGTTCACATGAATTTTCCCAGTCGGGAACTTGTTTTTCCCGATTATTCCGACACTATATGAATGCACAATATAAACCACACCTTCTCTGTCCAGTGCAGAACTACAAATCCCATCCTCTCTGCCCAAATCAGAACTACAAACTCCATCCTCCCTGCCCAGTACAAAACTATAAACCACACCTTCTTTGTCCAGTACAGAACTGCAAACCCTGCCCTCTCTGCCCAATGCAGAACTTCTAATCTCAACTGAATGCAGTTCTATTTCAGCTTCTCTTTGCCTTTCAATAACTGCACATAGTGTGCCCAGAAACCTTGTCGATGCTGCCTGGAAAACCTAATTTCTCCATCCTGTTCGGTCCCAACACTGGCTATATCAGCCCGTCAATATCAAAAGCCCAGTGAGCTTTTCCCTTGTATCATTTACCTCTGTCCATCTGCCTGGTTGCGACTGGACATGAGCCCTGTCAGCAAACTGCAATAATCATCCCGTCCTGAATGAGCCCTGAGCGAGCCCTGAGCCGTCAGTCAGGCATGGGGAGAGGCCCTCGAGCTGCGAACAATAGGTGCACAAAGATGGCCGCTCGCTCGGTGATATGGGCTGCTAACGCCGCAGCTCTGGGTTTGATTTGGGCTTCAGCTGTCCCGGATTACTCGGCAGAAAGGGGAATCGGCGGTGCGTGGAGCGCCGTAATGCGCTGTATTAAGCGTAAGGCCACGGGGGAGAGAAGCGTGGCCAGTTTGAACCGGAGACAAGTTAAAGCTTAGTGTGGGATGTGCACAAACCTGCCGAAATGCACGCACTCAGTGCAGGCAAGGGGCTGTTGTCTGGAGCCTGATGACTAAATTGAGGCATTTTTTGGGGTTGGTACAGATGTATTCACTGTGAGAAGAATAGTGTTCATGCAATTGTCAGATTCTTTGTCTTGGATTAATATTGTTCTAGCAGCTTTTTTTGAAATTCATGTCTTTCAGTCTATGAATTACAGACACTTCTATTGTACTCTTTATGAAAGCCGCAGAATCTATTTTTTTTTCCCTCCCCCCGTTGCTGCGTGATTCTGAAAGACAGGCTGCTGCCATTTTGAGTTTCTCAAATGAGAAGTCAAGTGATTGGCTGTGATGTCACTGTTAAACCAAACACCTTTGCTCTCGTTCTATTTGGTTTAAAAATGGAGGATTTCTATTCAGAGCCACGAGAATCGTTTTCAGTCCCTCTGTGTGCGTTTCGCTCCCATTGTGATATTGCAAAACTCTCTTATTTTGATTTTAAAGAAATCCTTTTATAATTTGAAGCTGCACATCCTCCATTTCTTCTTTTCATTGTTTGGCAGAGAGCCTGAACAAGAGTGTGTTTGGTTGCAGTGCTTAATAAGTGCGAAAATACAGGGAGGCTATTCTGTGTTTGTGTGTGTATCCTGGTTGTGAGCGTCAAGTGTTTCTTGGAAATTGATGTCACTCCCTGTCAGTTAGCGAGGTCAAGGCTGTTGTTTCAAATGGAAGCATCCAACTGTCACTGGCCCATTGAGAGTCCTGGCCACGCCTACCTGGCTCGCACAGATTTATGCGATTGGCTCCCGGGTAATGATTGATTGCAATTGGCTGACTGTTCTGCAGGGGCTGATTGATGGAAATTAATCAAGCAGCGTGATGCACAGGGTGGCTATCGGGCGTGAGAGTTCCGCAGCTGAGCTGAGCGCGCTCATTACTGCAGCCGAGAGGAGATGGTCTGGGACAGCGGGCCGGCCCTCAGGGGAAATAAAGGCTGGGGTGTGGAGGGCTCTGATCTGTATGACTAACACACACACACACACACACCACAGAGCGAAGAGCATACGCTTGTGCAAGCACACTCAGCCATCAGGATACACAAATGCGCTTGTATTCACATGTTCCAAGCTTACGCACCCCCACATACACACCCACACACACATCCTTGTACGATGGATATTTTTGTGAGGACATTACATTGACTACCATTCATTATTTTTGTGTCTCTACAGGGGTGGGCAATTCCGGTCCTGGAGGACCGGTGTGTATGCAGGTTTTTATTTCTATCAATTATCCTGACTAATTAAGTTAACTGATTGCATACACGAATATAGATTTGCGCTATGATTAGATCAAAGGAAAATGTTTTATGAAGGGAGACAAGAACAATCTTTGGTGGTCATTCATGATAATTTAAAGAAATGTGCCAGAAATGCCAGATTTCATAAATTGTTTGGCTAATTTAGATAGTGAACTAATTAAAGGCCAGAAGTTGATGTGAAAACCAGGGACAGATACGGCCCTCGTTGCCCACCTCTGCTCATAAGTCACAATTTGCCTTTGTAGTTGTGAGGACACAAGAAAATGTCCTCACTTCCCAATAATGTCCCCACTCTGTAGGAAAAAAAACATTTTCTTGTTCTCACTTTGTAGCATGTACAAGAACTCTCACACGCACACACACACACTGCACCCACGCACACACACACGCACGCATGCAGCGGACAGACGATGCTTCTGCAGGCACTCTCACAGCCAATAGGATGCTCAAATGCACCTGTATTCACATGTTCCCTCGCAAATTTACACACACACACACACACACACACACACACACCATATTAGGTGTCATGCTATCCCTCCCAAGTACAAAGGGGTATAATCTAGTTGGGATGACCCGATTAAACTGATGAGGGGCAGTAACGCCTGTACCCATCTACTGTAAGAAACCTCACCCTTCCTTCCCCCAGCATCCCTCCGCCGCATATCCACAGGGCGCTCAGTTCTCTCCCTCACCCCGGGCGCCCCACACGCGTGATTAGCGCACACGGGAGCCGAGCTGCAGAATAAAGGCTGGCGAAGCTGGGGCGACTGGCCTCTTTGTGGTGCTGTCTACTCATAATCACAGGGTGTGCGGCTGCCTGTCAGCGAGTATAGGAGCCGAATATTTATAGAAATTGGTCAGGCCTAATTGCCCATACTGGGGATGGTGAGACGTGGGGGGTATAGGGAAAAAAAAAAAAAACTTAAGAAGAAAGCACACGAAACGCTGCAGACAGAAGCGAGCTGCCTCTCTTTTTCTGTGCTTTCTTCTTTGGGTTTTTCTCTGGTCTTTAGACTCCCTAGCTGCTGTGTTGTTTTCTATTGATTAAAGTGTAAGCTGTACATGCATCGGCCTGTTTGATTTGCACTGTTTGGTTTTCGGAGACTCGCCCCGTTTAGTTCATTAATGAGGTCTGTTGTTGTGGTTTTTTTTTCCCCACTGTGGTTCTGGTAACATTTTGCAGTCGAGGCCAAATTTACTGCCCATCGTAGCATTTCCTTCGATGACCCTACGGCCTTGAACTTTGAGTTTCGGGCAGTTCCACACTCCCCCCTGATCCGGACATGCATACGAGACCTGGTGAAGGCTTGCCCCATTTCAAAGCCACAGCCAGACGGAGAGAGTGTGTTTTCGGTCGCTCGCTGTCACATGCTAGTCAGAATATTGCGATGAGCTTTGTGAATCTTATCATTTAGGGATCTGCTGGCCCCTGCTTCAGGGCTTTGAGAAATGTATAACTAGATTTCGTTATTGCCCTCATTTAGCTGACACATTTTGTCCGGGGTAACTTGCAGTTGATTGGATCAAACAAGGGACTGATCTCCTTCCTTGACCAATGGAGCATTAAGGATCTTACTCTTGGGCCTAACAGCTGCGCAAATCTCATCACTGCTACACTGGGCCTTGAACCACCGGTCAAGCACCTTGGGCATAAGGCTTGGGCTACCTTAGCCTAGCCGTCGGTGGCCCAGTTCGGTGAATGACGATTAAGGGGCTGTGCTGCATACAACTGTGCAGGGTCGTGCTAGCGCTCTTAGAGGCAGCAACTAGGCCTCGTGCACTCCAGCCTTCATGGTCGAATGCTCACGGCCTC